CTGGCCCGGCCGCGGTTTCTTTGCTCATCAGGTGCGTGTACGTACCGGAGGTCCCCTCTGAGCATCAGGGAGCACTTTTTTGCTGTAAGGGTGACCGAGCAGTGGCACAGGTTGCCCCGGGGGGTGGGGAGTCTTCCCATCCTTGGAGATGCTCAAAACCTGCCTGGACAGGGCTCTTGGCAGCCTGCTCTAGGTATCCCTGCTCGAGCGTGGGCTTGGACCAGGCGAGCTCCAGAGTTCCCTGGCACCCTCAGCCCTTCTGTGACTCTGTGATGAATGGCTTTACTATAGAACAGCAGGTCTCGTGCTTTTTTTTTCTCTCTACTTTTTCTTTTCTGATTAGTTTTTTATTCTTTTCTTTGACTGCTTCCCAAGGGCACATGCACACACACTCCATTCCTTCCTCAAGGAATGGAGGAAGAAATTCCTGTTCTGTAGCTTATCCTGAAATCCAACTTTTTGCCTTCAGCTTCAGTCCCTTGGCTAGAGCTACATTTTTGAATCGTTACTGAAAGTGCGTGACCAATATAGTAATTAAATGTACACTCTGAAGTCTATCCCGATGCAAGTTTGCTGTGTTAGAGTAATGAAGGCACTGAACCCTGTCTGCTTTTTTCCAGAAATGAAGTTCTGGGTATGGTTTGATCCTCAAAGGAGCCTTCAGCCACAGCAGTCCCATTCCTCCATTGCTGACTTTTTTTTTTCCAATACAGGAAAAATCACACGATAAAGGGGAGAAGGCCACCTACCAGATACTCTTATTTTTATCTTAAAAATAAAAAAAATCTAAAGGGATAAGAGATGCTGTTATACTGATGCCTTTCTTGATGCTGTTGCTTTCACTGTTTTTCCCTTCTGTAAATAGCTGATATGTTTTCAACTCTTCTTGCTAAATCAACTTTAGTCTGTCCTTTAAATGATGAGGAGGGCGTCCAGATTTCCTACCAAATGCGCTCGGATGCTATAATGGGATAAGGACCATACAATAACTTATGTCTGTCCCTTCTCTTGGATCCTGGGGAACAGGATTCCTTGCAGCAAGTAAGTTACATCCTAAGACAAACATACCTATAGGGCTGTGTGAGCAAAATGCAATGAGTAATTGCAGCATACCTGAATATTTTGTTCATCTGTGTAATTTTTTAATGTAAAGTCTGCCAGGAGCACTAATTAGTAACTTTTTGCTACAGTTTTTTTTTAATTCATAAACACAGTAGAAATGTGGCAATGTGCATACTTTAGCTTCTGTAGAAAAACAAGACTCTCCTTGGCTTGCGGTAGCAAGCTGTCAACATAGCTAGCTTTCACCTTGGCACGTGTGGTATGATTTGTCTGGACTACTTGTTTTAGAAATTCATATTGTGGTAGGTTTGAGGAGAAAAATCAGTTTAAAACTATCTAAAGATACCTGTTAAAGTAGTAGTTCTCCTTACTGGGAGCTGTGGTAGGTGTCCAACAGTATTTTGTTTGGTGTTGCCATCAAGTTTAAAGTTTTTAGAGACTCACAGTGCTCATCTGTTTACCCTTCTGAGTTTGTCAGTCCTCCAGTAGCCCCAGCAGTCGAGTAGGACAGGAGGCAGTTTTGTTCCCTGCCATAAGCACATGCAGTTTTTCATTCACATTCTGCATCTATGAACTTGCTGCTTTATTATTCTTTCTTCCAGGTCCTTGTCAGTGAACACGGACAGACCATGCCTCTTCCGGAAACCATGTTTTGTGCTCAGCAGATCAAAATCCCCCCTGAGTTACCCAATATCCTGAAACAATTTACCAAAGCTGCTATTAGGACTCAACCTCGTGATGTTTTGCAGTGGGCAGCTGCGTAAGTAGGATGTTCAGATAACGATGTAGCGCTATGTGTATGGACCCACAAAATCTTCCTGCGCCTGTTTGTTGTACAGTGGAGTTGGCTTGAATATTAAGCCAGCCTGTGTATTGCATATGCGCTTCTGTGCATTAATGTAGTATGTGAGCCTTTTAAAAATAGTATAGGACTTGATTTATTTTCTGTTTCATGGGGGGTTTAGGACTGGCATATGTCTGGAATAGTTTGATTTCTATATAGAAGAATGTGTCTTAGTTTTTTGTTGTTGTTTTTAATTGCTTGGTCCTTTAAGATCTTGAAAGACAAATTGATTTTTTTTTTTTCCCCTCTCATGTGAGACTTAATTCAATTCTTGGAATTTAAAGGAAACCTAGAAACAGCTTTCTAATTCTTAAACTTGCCTAGGTTTCTTTTTTTGTTGTTGTTTCTAGGAACAAAATTAAGGAATCTCCTTAAGTGTTACCAAAGTATAAAAAGAGCCTGAAAAGCTGTAACGTCTAGGTGATATAGTCCACATAATAAATCTCTCATCATGAAGTTGTTTTAAGATACTTAAATTTTTCTTCTTCTTTAACTTCTTTTTTTTTTTTCTTTTACCTCATCTGCTCGCTACCATTATTTTTTCCTGTTCTACAGTTTGTGTGGACAAACTCTTGAAAAGTGTATGTGAGATGTTCTCTACTCAGGGAATTTAAAAAGTCTGTGCTGTGTACGTGAGGGAGGGGAGGCTGTTAAAGCCAGGCTGGAGTCTGGCTAGTCCATTAAACAAACAAAAAACCAAAACCTGAAGCTGAATCACTAAAGCTGCAGTGTTGGAGAAAGGCAGCAGGAACATCTTAGAACGGCGTGGCATTTCTTAGGAGCGTGATGGAGGTGGGGTGCGGTGTACCTCTGGGCGATGGATGTGCAGGGAGCTTGACCCAACTGAGCAGTCGGAAGCGGCAGCTGCCAGGTGGCTTGAGCCTGCTGGGCTGTGGGCACTGCCGTGGCCACACCACCTGCCAGACCCTGACCTCCGCTTAGCGATTGCACCAGCTCGGTCGGAGGAGCCCCTGCAGATGGTGGGCGGCTGGTGCTGGTCACGCACCCCTTTCTAGAACATGCTCTGGCGCGAGAGCACCTGGGGCAGAGCAAGGTCTGGACCTGGGAGCCACGCGAAGCAGAGCCAGGCTGTGGTTTCATGTGCGCTGCCGGTGTTGTAGTGCTTGTCCCTGTGAATAATCAGATGGGGAACCAGATCCAGCTGAAAAATAATGCAGGTGTTATGCAGTACATGTAGTACAGGTGTACATGTAGTACAGGTGTACATGTAGTACAGGTGTACATGTAGTACATACATATAGTGCATCTATTTCTGTACAGTCACACTGCTTCAGTTCTGCAGTGCTGCATGCTGTGCATTTCAGCAAGTATTTGCACGGCATGGGATAGCCTGGGCATGGATGTGGGTGACCAGGGCAGATGAGAGGAGACAAGTGGAGAAACCCTTAAGTTAGACCTGCTACTGACTGAATGAAAACAGGGGTTTTGCAGGGTTGAGATTGCTGGCCAGTTATGGCAGAGGTGGTTGCTGTTAAGATGGTTGTAGCCTTGTAATTAAAAGGATGTGCATCTAACTTCCTTTCTGCTCCAGTCTTAGATTTTATTTTGGAGTGGACAGAGACAGCAGAAATGCTGATGAGAGACTTGCAGCGTAAATAGCCAGTCCTGCTTTTCGGGTAGCACGTGAGGGGAATGTTAAACAAATCAGCCCTAAGGTGCTTATCAATCGAATGGGAAAAGCCTGAACTTGGGTTTGCAAGCCCACTCTGATGTTAATAAATCATCTTCTGCCTTTGCCAAGAAGGGCTGAGTATATAATGCACAAAATAAGTTAAATGCCTTAAGAATTATTAGAGCGTTGTAAAAAGGAATGTGTAAAGTCTAAAGATTGTGTTTCCACTAAAAAGAAAGGTGGTACCTGGGCACAGGGAGATATGGGAGTTGTGCGGGCTGGGCGGCTTGCCGAGTACTGCCGCTCCTGTGCAGGAGCATGCGGATTCGTTCACTGAACTGTCAGAGCATTTGCTTCTGTGCAGCTTGTAATGGCCATGGGCATTGAAATGTGTTGCTCTTCCCATTCACTTAGGTATTTTTCAGCGTTGTCAAAAGGCGAGCCCCTTCCTGTGAAGGAAAGGATTGAAATGCCTTTAGCAACAGAGCAAACAGATGCCGGTTTGACCCTAGGACTCCTTAAAACCTTGCACAAACAGGTACAACCCGGCCTTTATCAGATGGACAATGCTATCAAGGAATGCTGATGTGTTGGGGATGGCTGGGGAGATTGACTGTCACGTATTTTGGGGAGGGACTGTGTTCTTAGTTTTGTTCTGGTTATCAGTGTTCCTATTGTGATACCATGATTTCGCTTAAAGCTTTCTCCCAAAGGCATGGTGAATGTTGCAGAACTGAAGGAAAAATGGAAGCACTTGTGCTTGCCACAGAAGCAACTGGAAGTTATCCTGCAGTTGGACCACTTTGGTGAGGAGGTGGAATGGATGAAGGTTCTGGCACTTGGGTGCAGCATGCTCGGCGGGGTATGTTCACAGCAGGAGCCCTCGTATCCAAATGCAAATGGTCATATATGATTGTATGTGAGGTAGACCATATAACAATTAATGCAAATGGACTTTGGAGAATGGTGATTGCTTTCGCAGCAGCTGGCAGAGGCCTGCATGTTTACATCTGTTCCCTATCAGGTCTTGGTCAGGCGAGCTTAACCAGAAAGAGGGTTAAGTCCTCCGTTTACTGGAATGGTAGTAGAAGAGCAAGACACAGGGAGCTTAGACCGTAAGAGAGAGGAGGATAGAGGAATGATGCTTATGGTATCAGTGTAAATGTCCATGGAGGAGAACTAGAGGGAGAAATTAAAACATCAATTTTTTAAATTGATTGTGTGGTCAATTAAATTTTCACAAAAGCAGTTACTGTTACTAAATCTGCATTTAAGTCTTTTAATGTCAGTAATACAATCTCAGCAGAGCATTTCAACAGAATGAGAGATTATAAAATGCACTAGGCTCATGTTCTTATGAAGTGTAATATTTTTAATGACCCCTACAGTAGGGAAGAAGGGGTACTAAAAAACAAATACATGTTTTGAGAATGTTGCAATATCTGGAAGCCCTGAATGTTAACCTGGCCTGGTGATGCAATCATGTGTGTATATATATATTTATTCTTTTCAACTGTGTATTTCTTGATTCCAGTCCCCCTCCCAACAAGATTTTGTAGTTTGGGTTCTTCATTTAAAAGAAGTAACAGCAATGTTATGTATTTTAAAAAAAATCAAACCAAAACCAAAGTCACAGGAACATCATTCTGATGAAGGTTAAACAGTCTAAATTTACCTCCATCTATCTATCCTTTCAGATATTAAGTGAATAATTTGATTTCTGCTTTACATATTGAAATCTAAACTTAGGTTTCCTAAACCAGAGAGTAAGATGCACACAATAAATTTACATTAATTTTCCTGCAGCTGTAAATTGTGTTCATAGTTGAATAGGGTCACGGGTAAGATACAAGAGTAGACAAGTACGAGCTTCTTAAAAACACTAGTCATCTGAAGTTTCTTTCTGTAAAGCACTGATGTGTATTTACAGCCTTGGAGAAATGGCCACGCGAGTCACCTGCTAAACTGTCTTTGACAGGAGGGGAAATGGATGTGAATAACTGCGGGGCTGTGAGAGCAAACGAGTGGCAGCTTGG